GTATATACCAATAAATTAGTCATACACATTTTTTTCTAAGGCTAAATCATTTAAAAAATAGAAAATTTGAACAGATCAATAACAAGTATGAAGTGCAATCAGTAATAAAGTATTCAATCAAAAAAATTTTTAAAAGCCCAGGATCAGATGTCTTCACTGTTGAGTTCTACCAAGTATTATTTATTCCAAAAGAATTGAAGAATAAAGAGTTCTTCTAAGCTGGACACCAGTGGCTCATGCCTGTATTCCTACCTACACAGGAAGCTAAGAACTGAGGATCATGGTTCAAAGCCAGCCCAGGCAAAAAAGTCCATGAAATTCTTATCTCCAATTAACCACCAGAAAATCAGAACTGTTGCTGTGGCTCAAGAGGTAGAGCACTAGCCTTGAGCTGAAGAGTTCAGGGGCAGTGCCCAGGCCCAGAATTCAAGCCCCAGGACCAACAAAGAAAAAAAAAAACTTCTTCCAAATATCTATGAGGGCATCATTATCATTATCCTGATACCTGAACCAGATGAAGACATAACAAAAAAAGAAAACTACATTGGTTAATGTATCAAAAAATCCTCCAAAAAAAACCCAAATCCCAACAGTATATTGAAAACATTACTCATCATGAACAAGTGAGATTCATCTCAGGGATATGAGGATAGTTCAATACATACAAATCAATAAACATGATAAAGCACAACAATAGAATGAAGGGAAAAATTCATATGATCAAAGCAGTAGATATAAAAATAACTTTGATCCAATTCAACATTCCTTCATGATAAAAACTGAACACACTGCGTACAGAAGGAACATGCTCCAGCGGTATGGTAGCTGTAATCCCAGCACTCAGATTATACATTGGGAGACCAGTTCAGGCTCACATAGTGAACTTTACTTTAAAAAAAGAAAAAAAAAAAAAGCCGGGTGCTGGTGGCTCATGCCAGTAATCCTGGCTACTCAGGAAGCTGAGATCTGAGGATCATGGTTCAAAGCCAGCCCAGGCAGGAAAGTCCATAAAACTCTTATCTCCAATAAATTACCAGAAAACTGGGAGTGGCACTGTGGCTCAAGTGGTAGAGCACTCGCCTTGAGCTGAAGAGCTGAGGGACAGTGCCCAGGCCCAGAATTCAAGTCTCACGACCGACCAAAAAAATTAATAAATAAAATAAATAAATAAATAAAAGAAAAAAAAGAAAAAATTAGCTCAGTGCTGATAGCTCACTCCTGTAATCCTAGCTACTCAGAAGGCTGAAATCTGAGGATCCTGGTTTGAAGCTAATCAGGGCAGACGAATCTGAGAGACACTCATCTCCAACTAACCAGCAAAAGGCTGGAAGTGAAGGTATAGCTCAAATAGTAGAGCACTAGCTTTGAGTAAAAAAGCTAAGCAAGAGGATGAGACACGAATTCAAGACCCAGCACCAGCACACATGCAAAAACAGTAGAAGGAACATTCTTCAACATAACAAAGCCTATTTGTAATAAGTTAATACCTAACATTAATTATATTGAATGAGGAAAAACCTCCAAGTTTTCTCTGAAAGATATGGAAGTAGATATCTATTTTTAACATTCATTCAACATAGTACTAGAAGTCTTAGCCAGAGCAGTGTACAAGAAAGAAAAAAAAGGATATTCTAGCTGTAAGAGAAGCCAAAGTCACTATTTGGAGATGACAAATTCTTATATATAGAAAACTCAAAAAAGTCATAAAAATATTAGAAAAATTATTAGAATAGCCTGGGAATGTGGTAGAGTGCTTGCCTAGCATGCATGAAGCCCTGGGTTCTATTCCTCAGTACTACATAAACAGAAAAAGCTAGAAGTGGCACTGTAGCTCAAGTGGTAGACCACTAGCTTTGAGCACAGGGAGGCTCAGGGACAGAGCCCAAGCCCTTAGTTCAAGCACCAGGACTGGAAAAAAATTGATTAGAATAAACAAATATAGCAAAGTTGCAGGATACAAAATCAGCACATGAAATTCTCTAGTTTTGCTATATATGAAGAACAGATTATCTGAAGTAGATATCAAGAAAGCAATTCCTTTTAAATAGCTACAAAATAACATAGGAATAAATAACTAAGGTGAAAGTTCTCAATAATGAAAACTATTAAACATTGAAGCCAATTAAAAAAATGGAACGACATATGTATCTATGAACTGAACAAATCAATGCTACTAAAAGGTTCATACTACCCAAAGCCATCTACAGATTCAATGCAATCCTGATTAAAATTTCTAAGTCATTCTTTAACGAAATAGAAAGAAAATTCTAAGATATGCATGGAACATGGAATTAGAAAAAAATCCCTAAGTAGTCAAAGCCATCTTAAGCAAAAGAACTAAATAGGAGGGAGGCATTATCCTACTGGCCTTCAAAATATATAAGCTATAGTAATCAAAGTATAAATACAGACATATAGACCAATAGAAACAGAATTAAGAGCCTAAACCCACACACTTACAGACAACTGATTGTTGATATAGTTGCAAAGAATACACCCTGATGAAATGACAATCTTCAATACATGGTGCTGGGAGAACATGTGGAATTGAAACCCCCTTGTAAAACTTCTTAAAGATAATTAAAAACATACCTATATAAAAAAAGAATATCTATTTTAAAGATGGTATTAAAGAAACTAGATATCAAATAGGCAGAAGAACAAAATGAGACCCTTATCTTCACCAATGACAAAAATCAACTTATTAAATTATTAGAAAAAAGTACAGGGGAAATGCTTCAAGATATTGGAAGGGTAAATATTTCTTTAAGAACCCAAAGTATAGGAAACAAAAGCAAAAAATAGACAAATGGGATTATATCAAACTGCACAGCAAAGGAGACAATCAATGAAGTAAATCGACAGTGTAATATAGAATGGGAGAAAATATATGCAAGCTACACATGTAGCAAGGATTCGACATCTAGAATATATAAAGAACTCCAAATAATCAATTGCAAAAATGGTCATTAGGCCCAACTGTACATTTCTCAAAAGAACACATACAAAACTGTCAACAGATATTAAAAAATATACTCAAAATCACTCATGATGAGAGAAATGCAAAGTAAAACTACAATTTGCTATCCCCTCACTTCGGTGTTTTTGGTGCCAGCCCTAGAGCTTGAGTTGAGCCTATGTGCTGCCCCTAAGCTCTTTTGCTCAAGGTTAGCATGCTACCACTTGAGCCACAAGGTCCACTTCTAGCTTTTTGTTAGTTTTATTTTGTTTTGTTTTGAATTGGATATAAGAGTCTTACCTACTTTCCTGCCAGGGTGCACTTCAAACCACAATCCTCAGATCTCAGCCTCCTGAGCTATTAGGATAACAGGTGTGAGCCACTGGCACCTGGCCAGTAGGTAGTTTTTATCAGAAAGAGTGACAGTTATCAGTGCTGGTGAAGATATGGAAAAAAGAAAACACTTGCATGCTGTTGGTGGGAATGTAAATCAGTAAAGACACTATGTAAAAGAAAATGGTGGTTTCTTTAAAAATTAAAATAAAACCAGGTAATGGTGGCTCACACCTGTAATCCTAACTACTCAAAAGGCTGAGCTCTGAGGATCATGATTCAAAGCCAGCCCAGACAAGAAAGTTTGTGAAACTCTTAGCTCTAGTTAAGCACCAAAACAGGGATAGCACCCAGGGCCTGAGTTCAAGCCCTGGGAACAGTGCACACGTGCGTGCATGCACGCACACAACACACACACACACACACACATGCATGCACGCACACAACACACACACACACAAAATTAACTATTACATTCCCTATCATCTAGCAATTCTACTCCTGGGTATGTAACCAAAAGAAATGACATCAGTTATATCAAAGAGATACTTGTATTATCACATTCAATGCAATATTCTTCACAAGCACCAAAAGACCTAAAGGTCCATCAGCCAATAAATGCCTTAAGAAAATGTGGTGTGTGTGTGTGTGTGTGTGTGTGTGCGTGCGTGCGTGCGTGTGTGTGTGTGTGTGTGTATCACTTAACCATAGAAGGAATAAAATGAAACCCTGTCATTTGCAAGAACATGGATAAAACCAGAGGCTTATTATGTTAAGTGAAATAAGCATAGAACAGAAAGACAAGTGCCATTATGATTTCTCTCATACGTGCAATCTAAAAATACTAGTGCCATAGAAGTTGAGAATAAAATGGTGGTGACCAGAATTTGGTCACAATGAGGACAGGCTGGAGTTATGGGTTAATCTAATAAATTGGCTGGGTATGGAGTTTATCTAAGGAGTTTTGCTGTGCTACCATACAGGAGAGTGACTACAGAATACAATTATGCACTGTGCATTTCAAAAAGCTAGTATATATATATATATTAAAATTTTCACCATAAGAAATGCTGAGAAGCTGGGTACTGATGGCTCATGCTTATAATTATAGCTACTCAAGAGGCTGAGATTTGAGGATCATAGTTCAAAGCCAGTGTGGGCAGGAAATTCTGTGAACCTCTCATCTCCAACTAACCAACGTGCTGAATTGTAGCTCTAACTGATGGGTTTTCAGTGAGAAAACCTTTAAGACCAAGGGCTGGATTCTGAGTAACACATCATTTGAAAAAGGGATATTTTGTTCTTTCGTTATTATCTATAAGTAGCTGTACAAAGGAAGTATAATGCATCTTGATCAATGTCATCCCTTTCATCATTCTCCCCCATCTCTCCCATCCTCACACATTAATTACCTCAATTTTGCCATAGTTTCCTAGTTGCATGACTGCATTTTTCCATCCTTCCTCTCTCCATTTGTCTACATCCACCCCTTGACCTCACCACTCTCCTCCACCCTCCAATACCTCATGTTCCAGTTTTCAGCACCAGCACTTTTAAACATCCTGAGTGAAGGTCTTGTTCCCCTTGGTTTGGGGTGAACTTTTTTTTTTTTTTCAAAAACAAAAAAGCAGTAAGTTCCATGAAGGGACCTTCTGAGACACTTAGAATTATTCTGAAAGGAATCCAAGTGTAAGTAAAGACTACTTACGCAAATATGATGTCCCCTCTCTTAGAGTAAGCAGGAATCGCACTAGCTATAGTGGAAAACCCATATGAATAAATAATGGCCTCTTCGGTCTTCATAAACTTTGCCAGACGCTCCTCCAAATCCAAATGAACATCTATTTCAACAGAAAATTTAGATACTTAAAACATCTTCTGATTCTTTTTCCTCTAGTAAAAACCAGACATAATAGTTCATTCCCATTTCCATCTTAAAGAACTATTAAAATAACCTGGACCAAAGTGGCTCACACCTGTAATCCTAGCTACTGAGGAGACTGAGATTTGAGGATCAGAGCCAGCCCAGGCAGGAAAATCCATGAGACTCTTATCTCCAATTATACACCAGAAAAATGGAAGTGGGGCTGTGGCTCAAGTGGTAGAGCACTCACCTTGAGCTGAAGTGCTCAGGGATAGTGCTCAGGCCCAGAGTTCAAGCCCCACGACCGACCAAAAAACAAAACCAACCCAAAAACAAAAACAAAAGAAAACAAAACTGGCCCATCTCTCATATGTGGAAGCTAGATCCAACATACACTAGAACATGGTAAATTACACAGGGCTCTAGACATTCACACACAGTGAGACGGGGATTTTTAGGAGAGGAACACAATGGCACAATGCCTATATGCATCTGATCATATAAAATAATATTTATTGAAATGAACTTCAGGAAATGGAAAAATGGTTTTTTTCTTTGTTGCTGTTTTTGTGTTGTTGTTTTTCTGTCATTTGTTCATTTATCTTTCTTTGAGAGGGTAAGAAACAGAGGAACAAAGGGTGAACAAATGCAGCAATGGTACTCACCAGACATTATATTGAAAATGAACTGTACAAATGTGGGTGGAGATGGGAAGGAAAAACTGGGAGAGAGTGAGGGAAGGAGTGAAACTGTCCAGAAAGAAAAGTACCCATTACCTGACTTATGTAACTGTAACCCCTCTGTACTTCACCTTTAACAACAGAAAATATATATTAAAAAGAAAACAACAACCTCTGGGCCAGAAGCACTTTGGAGGCATATGTAAAACTAGCTATGACTGTAAAGGAGCTACTGGGGTGTTTGTTTCTCTATCAATCTACTGTAAAAACCCCAGACCCACTATCTGCTACAAATGCTCTAACATCCTTTGACTGAAACACTGTGGGCTTTATCATTATTCCACATTAGCTTACTGAAGGTCTTTTGAATTTCAGCAAAACAGTAAAATAATGTACTCTGTCAAGAAAGTGATATACGCATTACAACTCCTCGTGGCTTCTCCTCTAAAAACCTGTGCTGGCACACAGTTGAGGACCTGCCATCCCTTTGTAGGACTTGGCTGCTATCTGAACTTCTTAAGTGTAAACTGGGGAACTGGAATTTATAACACACATAGAAATTTGGTCTTTTTAGAGGAGGAGCTTAAGAATGCTAATGTAGTAACAAGGATAAATGATAATAATTTAACTGATCTTTGTTTATTTCCCTCTGAAAACCCCTCAGGTTACCTAATTCCATTTTCATACATATACATTGAACATTATGACTGTTTACTGAGATATGATGAGACCAAAATTGAGTGTGGCTATATTTGAGGCTTTCAGAGTAAGTTAATAAGTTGATAAAAACTGGCAGTTAAGAATATTCCCATCAGCATGCAAACTCATTGCCATTTGTACACCATTGTAGAGAAGGATCTCTGAACAATTACTGACTTGCTTAGTCTCCAAAGTCCCAAAACTTCTGGCCTTCTATCTGAAGTAGCTGGGTTTTGGCTGATATCAGCCCTGAAGAGCAGGTTCTGTGGTAGGCAGAATGGGGTCAGTGCAGAACTTGTTTCTCATGATACTACTTATGCAATGAAGAAACTCACAAACCAGGAAAGGAAGACAGCAAGGAAGAAAACAGAGTGTTCTTTGACTTCAGTGTGCCTATTTTTTGCATATAGAATGACCCACTTTGGCAACTGGTGCCATAGCTTTGCCTAGAACGTAACTCAAGCATTCCATTTTCCATAGGCAGAGAAGAGATCATAGTGAGAAATGACCAGAAAGTGTTTGCCTGCTTCAAGGGACTTGTGGCACTTTCTACACCTGCTTATCTGTCTGATTTCCTCCCCAGACTCTAAGACAGAAGGTCTGGTCACTGAGGCCAATGCAAAGCTCAGCCAAGCTTTGGGGCTTCAGATTTGGGATTCCCTAATCACTTGGTAAGCAACTGAACAAGTCTAAAAACTGCTTTGTGCTTTCTGATGCCTCTTCTGCTAAAAAGGAATAATAATCACACCTTTTTATTTCCCTTTTTTTTTCTTTTTGGTCGGTCATGGGGCTTGACCTCTACGTCTGGGTACTGTCCCTCTGCTTTTCAGCTCGCGGCTAGCGCTCTACCACTTGAGTCACAGCACTATGCATGCAAGGCAAGCACTCTACCACTGAGCCAACTTCCCAGCCCCAATTACACCTTTTCCAACAGGGCGGTAGGAGGGCCACACAGATTAATGTCCATGAAACACTTAAGACAGTTCCTGGCACAAAACAAGCAGTATATAATATACAACTTTGTGCATTAAGCCTGCTTCTGTATAATGAAAGGGTTTCTTTTAAAAGGAAAACACAGATTTTATTTTCGAGTTATCCTAATCTCCAGTAAAGCTATCTTCAATTAAGAGCCACTTGTTCAATCTTACAATGTGAGACCATCCGCTTCTTGGTTATTTTCCAAAAAAAGACCATAAAATGGTTAATGATGGAACAGTTGGAAACAATCTCTGACATTTTCTCTGAAGAACCTCATATTTTAGTATATTTACTGTCTGTTTAAAAAAACAATGCTTATGCTGGATGCTGGTGGCTCATGCTAGCTACTCAAGAGGCTGAGATCTGAGCACTGTGGTTCAAAGACAGGCCAGGCAGTAAAGTCTGTGAGATTTTTATCTCCAATTAACCACCAGAAAACCAAAAGTGAAGTGGTAGACCACTAGCCTTGAGCAAAAAACTCAGGGACAGCACGTAGGCCCCAAGTTCAAGCCTCACGACCAAAAAGAAAAAACAGAAACAATGCTTAAACCAGGCAGTGGTGGCTCACATCTATAATCCTAGCTACTCAGGAGGATGAAGCTATCCTGGACAGGTAAAGTCCTTGAGATTCTTATCTCCAATTAATCAGCAAAAAGCCAGAAGTGGAGCTGTAGTTCAAGTGGTAGAACACTAGCCTTGTGCAAAGAGTAACTTTTCTGCCCAGGTTGGCTTCAAGCCTCGATCCTCATATCTTAGCCTTCTGAGTAGCTAGGATTACAGGCATGAACCACTCACTGGTGCCCAGCTAAGGTACATTATTAAAACATTTTCTCTTACTTTCTTACAGTAACATAGGTAAGATAGATGGTAGTACAGGAAGACAACGGAGAATATGTAGGGTGAGACAGTCTCTTCTAGCCAATGAAGCACATCTGGGTAAGAATAAAAAATCAGAAGTGGTGCTGTGGCTCAAAGTGGCAGTGATAGCTTTGAATAGGAGAGCTCAAGGAGAGCCCTGAGTTCAAGCCCCACAACCAAAAAATAACAAACAAACAAAAAACAAACAAACAAAATCAAGATATGGAGGGTATTTGTAAAAAAAATAATTTTACCAATTCTTTTTATGCTCATTACCTGAAAAGTTAAGAAGATAGCTAAAAGAGGAAGTATTTTTGGTGGGTTTTTGTGTTTTTTAGGTAGACCTATGCTTACTATGTAGCCTTGATTATCTTAAACTCATGATCTTCTTGACTCTGTGCCCAGTGAGGAAGTGATCTTTGAAAACAAATGCCTAAATGTGAAACTAAAAGGGGAGGAAAAAAAATAAAATTAAGAGCAATTGTTTGGGGGCCAAGGAAAAGAGATTCTAAGACTTGAACTAAATTTTTCAAAAATAAATAAGCAAAGAAAAAGAAAGGGGTCCTCATGTGCTTATTTTTAGAGCAAGGAGCAAGAATGCTCTAAAATGTTAGAATTATAGAGAATATTTTAGAGCTTTCAACTTTAGACTGTTTCCTCTGATTTTACTGAATGTTAAAATTCCAAAGTGCATTGTGTAACAATTATTATTAATTTTTTATGTTTTTTTTTTGGTCGGTCATGGGCCTGAACAATGGGCCTGGGACCTGTCCCTGAGCTTTTCAGCTCAAGGCTAGCACTCTACCACTTGAGCCACAGCGCTACTTCCGGCTTTTTCAGCTTATGTGGTGCTGAGGAATCAAACTCAAGGCCTCACGCATGCAAGGCAAGCACTCTATCGCTGAGCCACCTTCCCAGCCCTGTGTAACAATTATTTAAATAAGATTATTTCCAGAATAAGGAATAAGAAAAATCCTGTTCAAACACCAGAAGTACAAATATGGGTTATATATACATACATATGGTGAGAAAGACAGACAGAGAGATTAAGAGATGAACAGTGAACACTGACAATAGGAAGTAATGAAACTATTTTATCTGAAGGACAGCATGCCTAGGAAATAGGATATTACTTGTCAGCATAAAATTGTTCTACCACAAATTAACTTGTAATCTTGGTCCAGATGTCAAAGTTGGTTGGAACCTTTAAGTAGTAATTTTAGGATATGGATGAATTAAAAATAGTTTATAAGGGATTTGATACACTACCCTGTATTCATTATACTGCCTTTTATGGTCCCTTCATTAAATGTGATTTGAAAAGTCAGATCAAATTTAAATTTAACACACATTTATTTCTGAACTCAGTGATAAAAGCCCTTGGCTAGCATGCCCAAGGCCCTAGGTCTGATGAACTCCAGCATCACAACCAGTAACAACTACAAAACATGTATTCTGACATGAAAGCACAGAACAATGTATATGGCATACTGATTACCTTCTTTTATGTGTTTGTGCTAGTCCTGGGGTTTTGAACTCAGGGCCTGAGCATGGTCCCTAATCATTTTTTATTCAAGGCTAGCACTCTACCACTTGAGCCACAACTCTACTTCCAACTTTTTGGTGGTTACTTAGGGTTAAGAGTCTGGCTGAGTTCTTGTCTAGGCTGGCTTTGAATTATGATCCTCAGGTGTAAGCCACTGCCTTCCCCTTCCCCACCACTTGCTAATGACAGGAAGGCCTATGTTTGTTTGTTTTTGTCGGTCATGTGGCTTGAACTCTGGGCCTGGGCGCTGTCCCAGAGCTCTTCAGTTCAAGACAAGTGCTCTACCACTTGAGCCACAGCATCACTTCTGGTTTTCAGGTGCTTGCTTGGAGATAAGAATCTCACACTTTCCTCCCTGGGCTGGCTTTGAACCTCAATCCTCAGATCTCAGCCTCCTTAGTAGGTAGGATTATAGGCATGAGCTACCGATACCCGGCCAGCAAGGCCTACGTTTGAAAATGGTTTGCATATACTAAAAAGTTTCTGGAAGAACAAGTAAGGAATTATTGATAACAAGCAGTCTTGGGGATGGTACAAAAGTGGAGAGGACAGCACCAAAGGTTAAAAGAACTTTCATGTCTAGCTCCATCTTCTATTTGGAAAATATTTTCTGTGCTAAACAGCAATTAATCTAAAAGCACCTGGTATACTATTGCCCAGATGATCCAAATGAAAAGTTGACTGGGTTAAGAACATATTTTTCAGTTTTGGGAAAGCTAGGATTTGAAACAACAACTAAACTGAATAAGCAATAAATCTGTCATCCTATTCTTTCCTAGACAGTGACCAAGACCACACCTGGAAATAAAATCGACTAGAGAGGCTTTTAAGAAAGCCTCCAGCTCCATTTGCAGTTTTTTGTTTTTGTTTTTTTAAAGCTAATTGGAGATAAGAGTCCCATGGACTTTCCTGCCTGGGTTTCAAACTGTGATCTCATATTCCAGCCACCTAAGAAGCTAAGATTACAGGCAAGAGACACTGTTACCCAGCAACAGCCACAAAAAGCACATTTTGCTGTTCAGGTAATGAGTAACAAATCCATCAAACATGTTTGTTTGTTTGTTTCCCCTTGTAGTTTTCTAGTTTTCCTTGCAGTTTTCTAGTTTTGTATTAAGAACATTATTTACAACAACAAAAACAAGCAAACAACCATGTATACTTCAGGCTAGAGGAAAGTAAGAAGCTCTGAGTTCTGTGCTATGATCTTGTCATTGAGACTGCAAATCAGGACACAGTCTAATTTTAAGGTTGAAATGAAAGGAAGATGAGTAACTGTGAGGAAGATACTTAACCTCTCTGGGCTTTCTCTTTGTCTTCTGGATAGTTAGTATGATGGAAGATATGATTTATGAGATCCCTTCCACCTGTAGAATTCTTGAACACTAACTCTATTCATTTTTTCTCAGCATGAATAATGTAACCATCAAGGTAAGGGACTAAGAAAGTAGTTCTTTAAAAATACACTAAAATTTTTAAAGTTAGAAACTACGGAAAGATGCAACAGTAGTTACCTCCCTGTTCTAGTTTCTCCATATTTGGACATTCTGTAAACTACAATGTTATTTCCAGCAACATAGCTATTTGAATAATTATTTAGTGGCATTTTCAGAAGCAAAAAACAATATACAGTTAGTAACAATAAAATGCTAGGTTTTCTTTGAAAGTTTGTAAGCACACCGTACTTACTATGATACAGTTGTGTGCGTATTAAGTTAGCCTATCCCAAGATAATCCACACACAAGGAAATTATTTATCCTTCACTTCCTTCTCCAGAAAAGAAAAGCTACTGTTCTCACCTTTCTGCCACCTGGCTACCCACCTAGGGCTATTTTCCAGCCTGTGACTAGGTATGATCTGGTGCAAATTCTCACCAGAAGACAGTGGGGAAGAGTGCCATGTGTCCTACATTCTGTTCTGAGTGGGGACAAAAATGCTAGATCAACATACAGGATGTGGGAAGACCTGAGTCTCTTTTTGGCTATTAAGAGCAGAACCCTCAGTGGCTGGACACTTCCAGCCATAGCTGTCATATAGGACAGATACCTTCTTCTTATATCACTATCTCTTAGGGCAGATGCAGTCTGATAGAGCACATAAAAGGCACTTATTGCTCTCTTCACACACTACACCCAGTCCCAGACCCCAATGTATTTCCCCTCAGTGGTTTCAGACTACAAAATCAAAATGAAGTAACATTTTATACCCAGTTTAATACCAAGACTGATTTAAGAATATGTTTTCCAAGAAGTTTTGAAATAAAACTGAATTCTTTTTACCTTTTGAAGGGTTTGAACTTGGTCTTGTGTTGCATTTTTTTTTACTCAAAAAGCCTGGACTGTGATCCTCCCATTTTAACTTTTCACATAGCTGGAATGTCAGGTACATACCACTGTACCCAGCTTCAAATTGCTTGACATGAGGGAGTCTCAAAGTTTTTGGCCTTGAACCTTGATCCTCCTAATCTCCACTTCCTGAGCAGCTAAGATGGCAGACACTATGCCTGGATCAAATTGAATCTTAGCTCTTGAACACAATACTCTGAAAAAGCATACAACAGCAACTTACCAAATGTACCATAAAATCCTCTAGGTCCACAGGTGCCCACACCATACTTCCTTAGAGAGGCTAAAGCTGCTGCCTTTATTGAAGAAAAAAAAATAAAATAATTTACCTGGAAGGGCACAAAACTGATACTTTTTTTTCTTTAACCCATACAGTTCCTTCCTCCCAGTTCCATTTTCCTTTTTTCTTATAACAATTCTAAGAAGATTTAGGGAAAAACTAAGTGTAATGATTCTTAAACCATGGAAAGTTACATTAGCTTGATTCTCACAACCTGGTTAATTCAATGCTCTGACTTTTTGTATCTGCATTAAGAAATGTTTGTTAGCCCACAATCCCAATAAGAGATGGAACAATTTCCTAGATGCTTCTCTGACTATTACCCAAGTCTGGATTACTAGGGTCTCTGGCTGTCACACATTCTCAGCCCCACTAAACATTTTTGCTTCCGTTATGTCCAAGTCCAGGCTCCAAGTCTATCAGACAAAGAAATAAAGAGAAGCATTTGGCCCTTCCTGACAGCACACATTTGTGTTTTAGACTGTTGCTTCCTGAGTTAGTAATGTTACTTGCCCACTTCAGCATTAAGTGCTACTTACCTTAACACGAGGATTATCCAGCAACCCAAGAAAATTAAAGGAGGAAAAATTTATACATTCTTTCCCATTCACCACAATGTTGTGGCTCGGAGGGCTAGGAGCAAAGAGACAAAGAGTGGTTTGCTTCAGCATATACCCAAGTCACGTGTCATCACACTGCCCTGGTGGCAGGCCCAACATAACAATGTTGTCATGCTACTCCAATATTTGCCTTCTAATATGTCCTTTCTCTTTTTGAAGAAGTAAACTTAGAGAATGCTAGATTTTTTTTAAAATGCCTTTCTAGCTGGGAATGTGGCTTACTGGTAGAGTGTTTGCCTAGCATGGATGAAGCCCTGATTTTGATTCCTCAGTGTCATATAAACAGAAAAAGCCAGAAGTGGCACTGTGGCATAAGTGCTAGCAATGAGCAAAAGGTGGTCAAGGACAGTGCCCAGCCCTGAGTTCAAGCCCCAGGAGTGACAAAAAAAAAAAAAAAGAAAAAAGAAAAAAATGCCTTTACATTAATTCTGTTCTAAATAAGTTACCTCTATTTCTTTTATATAAATGATGAACTAGAATCCTATGTGGATAAATGGCAATTTTTTGCTTTGGCTAAAACATATCTAAATAGAGAGCAAGGGAAAGGGTGACACTGTCCAAAAAGAAATTTACTTTTTTTTTCTTTTTTTGCTGGTCCAGGGGCTTAAACTCTGGGCCTAGGCGCTGTCCCTGAGCTTCTCTTACTCAAGGCAAGCACTCTACCATTTGATCCACAGCACCACTTCTGGCTTCTTTTTAGTAGTTTATTGGAGATAAGAGTCTCCTGCTGTTTCCTGCTCAAACTGGCTTGAATCATGATCCTCAGATCTCAGCCACCTGGGTACCTAGGATTACAGGTGTGAGCCACTGGTGCCTAGCTAAGAAATGTACTCTTTACTTGATTTATGTAACTGACCCCTCTGTACATCATCTTTATAATAACAAAAAAAAAAAAACTAAAGAAAAGAAGTGTCTAAATAAAATAAGACAGAATACAATCTGGAAGACAAAAAGAAAATATATAAAATGATTAAAAAAGATTAAAGGCAAGAACAGGCAAAACAAGTTATGATCTTGCATAGCTATGTAGTTTAAAAATAAATGTTGGAATGCTATTTGAGAGGACTCCCAACCCACCCTCATACCTCAAAGTATTAGGGTGGCAAGCTCACACCTGCAGTCCTAGCTACTCAGGAGGCTGAGATTTGAGGATCATGGTTCAAAGCCAGACTGGGCTGAAAAGCTCTTGAGTCTCTAAGCTCCAATTAACCACCAAAATGCTGGAAGTAGAGCTGTGGGTCAAATGGGGGAGTACTAATCTTGAGCAAAAATGCTGAGGGACAGTGCTGAGGCCCTGAGTTCAAGCCCCAGGACAGCACAAAAAGAAAAAGAAAGGCATGCAGAAATGGTGTTAAGTCAAATGCTCCCACTTGGTAGCCCTGAGTAACACAGAGAGCCAGAGGTCTGTATCAGTCTCTCCCTTCCGTGGGTGTGCCTGCAATTACATTCAACTCTTGGTGTAACACATGAAGAAGACCAATAGTTGGTAACCAACATGTATATTCTTGTCCCTACCCTGCCACCTGGAACAGCGCACCATTATTTTCCAGCTGCTCTTGCAAATAGGTGTGTGCAACTAGTGCTCTTAATCAAGATGACAGCAGCAAGAAGTTTCTGTACTATCCTCTGCCTACTAGTCTGTCTTGAGATAACTTCAATTTCCTGGAGCTGCCCATCTCTTTTCTTCTCAGTGAGGGGAAATAAACTTTTACCTATGTAAGCCATGGAAGTTTGGGTTTCCTAATATAAGCAGCAGAACTCAACCCTAAACTACAATTTCAGCGAACAGTAATCAGTTTCCTTGATATAATATTGTATATGTTCCTAGGAGCAGGGCTTCAAAATGTAAGCAAGGTTTAACTGTTTTAAGATCACAATTTTTAAAATAATGCTTTTGGGGTCAAGTGTAGGAATGACAAATAGTGAATGGATATTTGAAGCTTGGGGAAATGCAGAGGGTCAGCAATAAGATCTCACATATTCTGATAGAAATGAAAGCCATCACCTCTGAAAAGTAAATTTTTAAAAAGCAATTGAATGATGAGTATGGTATCTAAGATGTCACGGGAGAATTAAATTACTACATGAGGTAAGGAAAAAAGCATTATTATGTGATTCAAGATGTATATTTAAATTTGATTATTTTTGGTTACTTGTATATCCATTTAAGTTTACTATCAACATGGCCAAAATACTATCTTAAATTTAATCAATCACCTAATATTTCAGCAGATATTGTTGGATAGTATTCAAATGAGCTAGTGATCAAACTCCTCAGTTTATGATTAAACTCTTCAGCTAATTATCAAACTCCTCAGATTAAACTCCTCAGTTAAAAGGAAATACTGATTGAGTTTTAAAAACTCAATCATGCACAAAAGAAACAACTACAAATAAAGGCAGAGGAAGGCTGAAAACAGAAGAGAATACTTTCTTATTTACCCAAAAGCTGTGCAGCTGTTATGCTACTTGACAGACGTTAATGTAAAAGTATTGTCAGAGATGGAGAAAGACAGCTTTAACGAGAAGCCAAATGCAACTAATAATGCATTTTCAAATTAAATAATTTAAGCAAAATAGAATAAGCCCACATAGGAATACTGATTGCTGTCCACTGTCTCCTTTTATTCATATGCAATTAAGCAGAAAGCAAATGTTAGGACTAAAATATTTGAATAACAAAACTCCTGACTCAATAGACACAACCATTCTGAACTAGAACAAATGTTTGCTTTCTTATACACTATAGAACATCCACTATAAAATACACAACTTTATGCATCATAATACACTAGAGGAATCATTTGTAAAACTTCAAGCTGCTTGGGAGGCTAAGAATAGGAGGATTGAGATTCAAGGACAGCCTGGGCAAAAAACTTTACAAGACTCCTAAACCCATAGCTCAGTGTGGTAGATTTCATTTGTCATCCCAAGCTTTGTGGGAGGCTAAGATTGAGAGAATCTTGGTTCTAGGCCAGTTGAGTTAGAAAAGCCAGTGAGACTCCATCACACAGAGGGGAAACTGGGAAGGGAGGCTTATACCTGCCATGCCAGAAATGGGAAGAAGTTTAAAATAGGTAGCCTGTGATCCAGAGCAGGAACTGTGATTATTTTGACAAGAAGTGACATCTATCTCAAAAATAACTACTGAAAAATAACTACTGATTCTTTGCTGAAGTGCCTGCCCACCAAGTATGGGACCCTGAGTTCAAACAAAACTTTCTTCAACCTTTTTCCCTGTGCTTTTAGAAAACAATTTACATATCACTTTTGATTATAATGGAACTACTGTGCATATTGAAAAAACAGAATCAAGTCTAAGACTCACCAAATACTGAGAAGGTATCAGACATAGCACTAAAAAATAGTATAGGCAGGGGTTAGTAGCTCACACCTGGAATCCTAACTAATCAGGAGGCTGAGATCTGAGAATGATTGCTGTTCAAAGCCAGCCCTGGAAGGAAAAGTCCATAAGACTCATAACTCTAGGTAACTATCAAAAATCAGGAAGTAGAACTGTGGCTCAAGTGGTAGAGTACTAGCCCTGAGCAAATATGGGACAGTACCCAAACCTTGTTTAAACCCCAGTTCTGAAACAAAAAACAATCAACCCAGTATAGTTCAAAAGGGTAAAACAAATAATTTTAAAATGTGTAAAAATTACCTTCCATGGGTACTCCTTGAGAGTCTATCTACTAACATATAGAAGAAAATGGCTAGGTCTGCTGTTATCCTAGCAGGAGGCTGAGTTCTGAGGATCAAGGTTTGAAGCCATCCCAAGCAGGAAAGTCCATGAGACTATCTTCAATTACACACCAAAAAGCTGGAAGTGAAGCTGTGGCTCAAGTGGTAGACTATTAGCCTTGAGCAAAAAAGCTCAGGGACAGAGCTCAGGCCCTGAGTTCAAGCCCTATGAAAAGCACGCCCTCAAAAAAGGTTTTTAAAAAAAGAAAAAAGGAAAGAAAAGAAAAAGGAAAAAGAAAACAAGATAGTCAATGTGGGAGAGAAAGAAACGAATTCCCAAATTAACAGTTATAGGAGATTCTAGGGTCATACAGTACATATGCATATAGCAACAAGTCAGACTGCAGCAGGTTGACAAGTTTCTAAGAAGCAAAAGTAAAATGAACCCAATATATAGCTAATACATTTGAATATTCTGAATGGAGGCTTATACTCCTGGAGGGAGATAAGAATGAACCAGAGACAGTTACACAGAGTTAAGCAAGTAAGGCAAAAGGAAATGATTAACTCCAGAGAAAATGTGTACTCAGGAAAGAAACTGTAGTTATATCTTATTGTAGTCATAAAAATATAGACACTAAATAGTCTAAGGATACATTATAACTGAACTCTGCTGGGGCAGGGGAAGAAAGGAACAAGGTCTCTGTGTGTAGCTGAGCAACGTCCAGCTTAAGATTCCCAGCTAGAGGAAGATCAGCTTTTTCTAATCCACATCAAGATCTCACAGGGGCAGGGAAATAAGTGCAGGTATGTTTTTATACAGTCTGTCTTTCAAATAATTAATATAATAAAATCTGGGGCTGGAAAAAAATAAAGACATAATTCCATTCATATTTGGGATTTGTTTTTAAAGAAAAAAAGGTAAACTTTAATCCCTAAATTGAAGACTTTAGAAGTAATCTAAAGCTGAGTATCAGTGCTTTATGCCTAGCTACTCAGGAGGCTGAGATCAGAGGATTGCAGTTCAAAGCCAGCATGGACAGGAAAGTCTGTGAGATTCTTTTTTTTTTTTTTTTTTTAATTAGTAAGGTTTTTTTTTTTTATTGTGAAAATACTGTACAGAGGGGTTACAATGACACGAGCAAGGTAATGAGGACTTTTTTTTTTGGTCCAGTCGTGGGGCCTGAACTCTGGGCCTGGACGCTGTCCCTCAGCTCTTCAGCTCAGGGCTAGCGTTCTACCACTTGACCCACAGCGCCACTTCCGTTTTTTTAATTTTTTTCTTATATGGTGCTGAGGAATCAAACCCAGGGCCTCATGCATGCAAGGCAAGCACTCTACCATTGAGCCACCTTCCCAGCCCATGAGTACATTTCTTATCAAGCATTGTTGCCTCCTCCTTTGTTTTCCCTTACCATCCCTGCTGTCCCATTCCCACCCCACCCTCCCCCCACCAAAGTTGTAGAGTTCATTTTTTGACATAACGTCTTGTATCTCATTTTCGCAATGGGTCCACTTGTATCCCTGTTAAAACAATTTGTTTTTTCCCTTCCCCTCCACAAATTATAACAACATCAAACACAGTGAAAACAGGGGTTATACGGTGGGGGATGGACATACAAAGCAACAAAGAAATCATCTTACAAGTATGTTAGAAACAATAGCAAGAAAGAAAACCCATTTGAGTCCTTATCTTTGGGTTCATTTTGCCTAACATCTCTAATTAATCAGCAAGAAGTGGAGCTGTGGCTCAAGTGGTAGAGCACTAGCTTTGAGGAAAAAACCTCAGGACAGCATCCAGACCCTGAGTTCAAGCCCCAGAACTGGCACTAACTCTCTCCGTCTCTCTCCCTCCCCTCCCTCCGTTCTTCCCTCCCCCCTTCTTTCTCTCTTTCTCTCTCTGTCTCTCTTTCACACACACACACACACACACACACACACACACACACACACACACACAGCTATCTAGACTATATCTAAAAGAAATGTCTGTATTGGGAACTAAAGCAGTAAGTTTACTCCTAGAAAATTTGAAATGTTTTACCAGTGAAAAAATGAATACAAAAGCAGCATAAACTTTAGCAAAAACAACTAAAGGACACTAAACACAAATGATCCAATAAGTCAAATCAACTTACCCTGAAACAATGTTGTAGTTAAGAGCAGGATGGTCTTTTGACACAGGAGGAACAAGAGGTTCAGGTTGCCATTCTTCAATCAATTCTTCCTTTTCCTATGGGAGAAGAAGAGAGAACATAGTACAAGCCACTTCTTATTAATGCCAGCACTATCTGAACTATATGCTGAATGGAAACTCCTAGGGAATACATTGTTAGAAATGTCTAGCCTAACTCTAGTTACTGTGGTTAGAACAAGAATAGAATCATTCTTGAGTTTGGCTATTGACACCCTCAACTCTTTCTAATTTGCTTGTTTATTCATGCAGTTCTAAGGGTGATGTGAGAATTTTAAGAAAAATTTATTTCTATGCTTAAGATTTTCCTGCCTTTCCCATATATACTACATCATTGAGATGGGAGTAGACAGAATTCTAACTCTAAACTTGGTTTGTGAAAACTACAGGCAGAATTATCTCTCAGGCCTCAAAAACAGGGGTACTTTCCCCGAGTGACTGGTATAACCTTCAAATCGACAGTGGTAAAAATCCAGTAGTTGCTCTTGTGTTCCTGAAACCATCAATAGGTTAGACTGCTGTTTACTACTTTCAAAGAATATAGGCCCATCATATGGTGTTCCTTTGGATAGTGACCTTATTCCTCATTTTCCCTGTATTTTTTTTAACCCTGATGTTTCATTCCCCTTGATTTCCTTACATTACAGAAAACATTTTAACATATACTAGTTGAGTCACAATCCCTTTTTAGAAAGATGTAGCAACTACAATAGTACACAAAAAAGATTAAATTACCTTTATTGTAAGATCAGATCGTTCTTGTAATTTGTAGGTCTTAGAAAAAAGAAGCCTGATTATCCAGAGTATTAGAATACCTTCCAGAATAAGATGATAAGCAGGAGCCTACAAGAAAAAAAAACAATGAAAAAGAAATAAACTCTTCTGAAGCCTGCATATTAAATTCAGTACACCTAAAGGTGCTGCCTTTGGTGACCTTTTATCTATTATATGGTCCTGTATCATTTAATTTGTTACTTCTTATATTTACTACCAGAGCATTCTCAATATCTATTCATTCCTTTTCCTATGTCTTCTCCTTCACATGAAAAAGCTCTAATACTTTAAAGACTTTTTTAGGAATAAAAATGAAAAAAAAATTAAACCAGACAAGCCCAATACTTAAAACAATATTATCTTATCAGATCCTACAGATAATTTTTTTCTGGCAGGAAATGATTGTAAAAAAATTACTCCACTTAATAAGCCTTCTATCACCTCGATCTACTCATGAATAAGTTAGCCTCCATCTACTTACAAGTAAGTTAATAGTTATGTGCAATCAGTTACTACAACATGTAAAGTTTTACACATCTTACTACACATTCTATATCCAGGATAACTCTCCTCAAACCCTTTCTAGAGTATGGTAGAACGAAGGGATGGGAGGGAGGGGGGGATAATGACTATAAATGCTTAAAGGAATAGCAGTTCTTCTTTCTACCATAGTTTCCCCAAAGTATGCCATGTGTTTCACATCAATAATCACAACGGTATCTTAACAATATTATCTCAGATTTTCTGATTAACGGTATGATTTCAGAATGAAAGCTAAGCTTTCATATGGATGATTCTAGATATCAATTAATCTTCAGCCAGTGAGTTACAGGATCTCCTACGTTAGTGGGTTTTTGTTGGCAAATTCATTGAAAAGAAGCATTTCAAAGCCAACTGTGATGGTGCATGCCTGTAATCCCAGTACGTGGGAGGAAGAACTCAAGTCACAGGCAGATTTGGATACAAAAAAGAGACTGTTCCCTCAACTCCCCAAAGGGGCATTTATAAACAATACCATTGTTTTAAAGCATTGGACAGAAAGTGATAAGGATAGTTAAAAAAAAATTGAGTGTAAAATTTCTGGTAAATTTCCACAACAAGTTAATGTGCAAAAAACTCTAAAACTACATATGTATGCTAAATACACAAATGGCTCTTTTTTTTTTCCAGGTACACTATGCCATACAGGTCCCCTCAAGTTCTACAAAGTACACAGAAATTGGGAACAAGATTATATACATTTTTCTCAATTAAAAAAAATACTCTTGATGAAAAATTACTGATCCCTATTAAATAGGAGTAAATGTAAATATTCTTTTAGCAATTAGACTCTAGCAGGGGATTACTAGAGGCTGTCCAAATCAGTAAATAGTCCACTCTCAAAGATTCACCAAGTGACAAGAAACTATTAATGTAGGAAATTAATTTTTAAAAAATCAGCTTTTCCTCTTAAGGCTATGTTACACACTAGGAGTTTCCAAGTCTCTGATCATCATGTTTAGGAAAGAAGTTACACAACAAAATTTCAAAACCAACATGCAAATATATAATAAATTGTTTCCTTAAAAATTCATTTCTTAAAAATATTCAATTTTAGTAACCTAGTCATTATAGCTAACCTATAGCTATGTATCAGTTAACTATACAAGGATACATATATATATGTATTAAGATAATTACCCATGAAGTGGAAGATCTTGAGACAAGGAGTGGGATACTGAGACTCAAAAACAAGAGGCTGGGAACAGTAGCAGATCACTTGCCTAATATGTGGCCAGGCCCTGTGTTCAACCCCAGTATTGAAAGAAAGAAAGAAAGAAAGAAAGAAAGAAAGAAAGAAAGAAAGAAAGAAAGAAAGAAAGAAAGAAAGAACAGAGAGCCAGACACATGAAAAATTTCCCATCAAGTTGTGTAATGGAAGACACTATGGAAAGCAAAGCAAAATTCACTGTGTCAGCCCTTAGAACTCGGCCAATTTGTTAAATGTATGATCTATTCCTAGCGTTTATATCTCTCCTGATCAAAGCACTAATTAAGTAGCATGCACTACTTAAATTTGCATTTTAGTTTAATTAGAAATTAAATTCTTCGGTGCCTATCCCCCACATATAGTCAGTAGCTCAGCAGCCGAAAGACAATGCAGAAAGTTCCACACTACAGCACAGGGATTTGTCAATGCAGCAGCAGCAGCATTTGTCAATTAATCAGACATTCTCCTAAGACGGTCCATTGTGATTTCCTACTATGTTACATATCTGAAGTAGCTTCCCTTTCAAAAAAAAGAAAAAAGAAGCCTGAACTATTTTTAGAAAACAACTTTATTAAAATAGTTGTATTTTCTATTTAAAAAAATGGCAGATGTATGCCAAAGAATGACGAAGTACTGCGTATTTAAAAATCCTGTATCAACCCGTTTCTTGATTAACTCCCTTCACCCAATCCGATTCACTGTTACGTTTCTCTCCGATTAACTGCATTACACGTCCGAGGACCGGATTTCCCGAGGACCATCTCGGACCGAGACTGTCCACTCTACTTTCTCCAACTTTGTCGGCTGTCAGGAGCGACTCCGGCTTTGGGCCAGCCATACCCTGTGCCCCCTCTCACGGGTTCCCTTCCCGCCTTCTGAAGGAGCCCGGGACCGCGGGTTCACTCTCAGGTCCGGCGGCCGCGCCCCGGCCTACCGGCCCCTCCACCCGCGACCGGCGGCGGACACCGACTCCTTCCAGAGCCCTTTCGCCAGGGAGCGCCTGGGCGAGCGGGACCGAATCCGCCCACCCGAGGCCTCGCACCTCACACCCACTCGCGCCTTCTCACCCTCCCCAGGGCCTCTCCGGCCAGAGAGCCCACCTCATACAGCGCCTGCACCATCTCCACCAGGACCCATTGCTCCGCGGCGGTAGCCATGGTCAGCTGCTGGGTCTCCTTCCGGAAGGCGGAACACAGGTGTGTTAAATTGTGCGCGGCGCGAGCCAGTGACGTCATCGCGCCGGCAGGAGGGGACGGAGGAGTGCTGGGTACCGCCTCCTCGCGCATGCGCACTAACCAGGCAATGGTTGGTGGGGCAGTTGAAAAACCTGACTGCTGGCAGATGAAGAAGCTGTGGGCCAATTTCTCTGCCTGGTGCGGTTGAGGATGCCAGGCCCCGAGCAGGACTCGCTAGAGACAGCCAATGGCTTTTGTCCTTTGAAGTCAGTGGTTGCAGAATGTTTTAAATTGCATCAGTAATCTAATTTTGGTATGTGTGTAAATATATATGCATATATTTATATAATTTGTAACAATATATCTATATATAATACACTTATATATGTATAATATATTGGTATATAACATTTATATATTTATGTAAATACATTTATATACTTATATATTTTATACATGTACATATTTTAATACATAAATATATGCTTTAATATATAAAATATATTTAATACATTTATATATAAATTATATAGTTATATATTTGTAATATATTTATACATTATGTTTATAGGTTATATATTTAAATATATAAATCTATTATTTTAACATTTGTAATGTTATACATCATATATTAAATATAGGTTTATAATTTTGGGGGGGTGTCCGGTAGTGGGGCCTGAAATCTGGGCGTGGGTGCTGTCCCTCAGCTCTTCAGCTCAAGGCTAGCGCTCTACCACTTGAGCCACAACGCCACTTCCGGCTTTTTTCTTTTTGCTTATGTGGTGCTGAGGAATTGAACCCAGGGCCTCATGCATGCAAGGCAAGCGCTCTACTACTGAGCCACCTTCCCACCCCCATAGATTTAATTTTTATATATTTATATATAATATTTGTAGGGGCACTTAATTTGATTTCAGTGGTTAAATATAAGTTGGATCCCAGGGATATTTTTTTTTTTCAATTCTCCTGTGTGTACATATTGTATTTTTAATCACACAATTTTCTAGAATAATTTTATTTCTCACTCATTTTCTTTAAACTTTTTCCATTGGTGAAGGAAATTATTTAATTCTCTTATATCGTGTATTGTTGTTTACATTTGACCCTTTGTTTTGGAAATTATAATTCAATATGATGATAGATAGATATGAACAGTTACTTTTTTCCCTAAAGGGTAACAGATTTTTCTAGTGCATTTTTGTATACAATCCTGACTTTTTCAGTACCTAAATAGCCTCAAGATTACTATGCAGCCCATAATGTCAGTGCTCTGCCCACATCTCCTGACATGCATTCCTATGTTCTCACACATTGTATTATTCCCTTGGCATTTTCTTCCCAACAAGCAGCACTTGCATCTCTCAAAAACCTATTTTAAGACTGCCAGGCCCAGGTTTCTCATGGCGAGTTGGAAGAGTCTGAGGTTTTTATCACACAGGGGTAAAGGGATAGTGGCCCTCTCATAAGGAAATATCCCCAGAGAAAAATTGAGAAACAATATTTTGCCAGTTATCCAAACATCCCTTAGGCTAGTCATGATAATAAAAGTATCATTGTGTGAGGATTGGAACAGACAAATGTCTTTTTGGAGTCTTAACATTCAACCTACTAAAGCCATATCCTTCCTAATCTTACTTCCCCACTCTCCTACCAGTTTTCCCCCTGAGAACATTCACTAACGTATCTCTTTCACCGAGGTATCTTTTCTTTTCTCTTTTTTTTTCTGGTTGTGGGGCCTGAACTCTGGGCCTGGAGGCTGTCCTTCAGCTCTTCAGCTCAAGGCTAGCACTCTACCACTTGAGCCAGAGGGCCACTTCCAGCTTTTTCTGCTTATGTGGTGCTGAGGAATAGAACCCAGGGCCTTGTGCATGCAAGGCAAGCATTCTAACACTGAGCCGCCTTTTTTCCAGCCCTCATCGAGGTCTTTTGAAGAAATAAATCGAATAAAGTTTATATCTGCAATTTCTTATTTAGTTCCATTTATCTATTTGTTGTGATTCCAATTCAATACTGATTTTTGAAATTATGTATTTTGAGATATTTGTAGACTCATATGAAATTGTGAGAAATAATACAGAAATATCCTAGCATTCTTTTTATAACTCACATATCAATATCCAGTTCTCCTCAGTGTAATATCTTGCAAAATGATCAACAGTATTAAAGCCAGGCTATTGATGTAAGTGAAGTTGACATACAGGTCTTTTCAGTTGAGATATGAACATAGAATCCTACTGTTCCCTTTTCATAGCTATACCCACTTCTTCTCTGACCCCTGGAACCCACAGGTCTCGTTCTTACAATTTTAAGTTCATTTATATAAATTGAATCAGACAATAGGGGACTTCTGGGATCATGTGAGGATGGTCTTCTACTACTGAGCTACATAGTTTGTTCATTTTGATAGCTGAGTGGTATTCCATAGTGTATGCCAAGTGTGTTCAGCTACTTGTGTATTGAAGAACATTTGGTAGTTTCCAGTTTCATGCCATTTTGAGTAAAACAACTACAAACATTTGTGTACAGGTTCCTCTCTCCACTTACTCTCTCTGTACTTAGATTTGACTTCAGGGCCTTGTACTTTACTCAGCTTGCTTACTCAGTTATTGCTCAACCACTTGAGCTGCTCTTCTAGCCCATCTTTTTGTTAGTTATTTTGAGGATGGATTTTTCTGCTCAGGACAGTCTTCTCACAACAGTCTTTCAGATCTTAGCTTCCTGAGTAGCCAGGATTACAGTTATAAGCTACTAGCACCTAGCATAGTGTACAATATAAACAACTTTTTAACATCTCTGGGGTCCTTGCCCTGGAGCATCATTGGTGAATCATAAAGTGATTTTTATGAAAATGACCAAACTATTTTGCAGAATGGCTATACCATTTTACATTTGCACCAGCAACATAAGTGATTTAGTTTCTCTGCATCCTCTCTAAGATTATCACTATTTCTTTTACTTGCTATTTTAAGGATTGCAATTATTTGGTTTTAATTTTTTGATTGATCAAGGATGTGAAATCTTTCCATAGACTTATTCGTCATCAAATAAAGATGAAATTTCTTTTTAATGAAATGTCTATACATATCCTTTGTACTTTTCCAATTGGATTAGTTGTGTCCTGCTTTTGCATTTTGAGAGTTGCTGGTATATTATGGATACTAGTCCTTTGTGGGGTTGGTGGTGTTGTGGGCTAAATGTTTGCGTTTCCTAAAAATCACAGCTTGACAACATCACAGTACATTAGGCCAAGCCTAATGTTGTAATCTATATGCCATAGTAATACTATTAAGAAGTTATGATATTAAGAATACTACTGCTAGGCACCAGTGGCTCATTCTTCTAATCCTAGCTACTCAAGAGGATAATATCTGAGGATCAAGATTCAAAGCCAACTGGGGCAGGAAAGTCTGTGTGACTTTTATCTCCAATTAACCACTAAAAAGCCAGAAAAGGAGCTGTGGCTCAAGTGGTAGAGCATTAACCTTGAATAAAAATGCTAGGGGACTGGGAATGTGGCTTAGTGGTAGAGTGCTTGCCTAGCAGGCATGAAGCCCTGGGTTCCATTCCTTAGTACCAAAAAAAAAAAAAAAGCCAGAAGTGGCACTGTACCTCAAGTGCTAGAGTGCTAGCTTTGAGCAAAAGAAGCTCAAGGACAGTGCCCTGGTCCTGAGTTCAAGCCCCAGGTCTGGCAAAAAAAATTGCTAGGGACAGTGCCCAGGCCCTGAATTCAAGCCACGCACTACCAGAACATGCTCACGCATGCATGCACACACACATACACGCAAAACCACACACACACAAAGAGAATAATACTGAGAATATTAAGACATGCTTAAGCATCAGGACTCCAGTGGATTAATACCACTAACTGGAGGTGGATTGGTTATATGAGCC